TTATTTTTATATTTGGTCTTTAAAAAAAAAATGCTTATCTCCTTTCTCAGTTTCATATCGCTGATAAATAAATTTTGAGTTGAAAAATGCTTAAACCTGACTAACCAATATGAAATTATATTTATCTAACAATATTTCACCCCATAAATAAATTAAAACTATAATAACTATATATATATATATATATATATATATATATATATATATATATATAATATATATATATACAAGCTCCCTCGACGCGCGTGTGTTGTATTAATTTGTAATTTATAATTTATATAAATAAATATCCAATTGCGAATACAAATAATAATTCCTTATCTTCTTCCTCTATCTTTTTCGACCTTTTTAGTTGGACGTCTTTATTTTAATGCATGCGATTGTGACACGAGGTCTTTATATTTTATCTCCAAGAAAAGCTACGATATACAGTCATATTGCCATGGCAACGTTGAAGGCATGCACATGGTAGGGTCCATTATTTTAGGGTTTATAGGGTAGGGGCCTATATGCTTGGATGCCTTCAGTATATCATACGTACCACTCTGCTTCACAAAACACAACCCATTTTTCCAGTTCTGGTAGGGCAGAGCATCATTTGTGCAACACATACTTCATCTTCCCCACCAATTTTTACCTTCATATATATACCATCACTTCTTCATACACTATTGTTCATGCTGAAAGCATATTCATGTTTAAAACGTAAACAAATTTGTCATGTCTATTGTTTTATATTTCAAGTGTCATATCATATTAGACTTCTGGGTAGGGAACAAATGGACTTCAAGCACATATTTAATTATGATTATTTATGAAAAACAAGTTGACTAATACGACAACATTTGTAATGATAAAGATCACGTTTAACTACAGTGCCCAGTTTATTCATCAAATGGGATCTTAAATCGGATATTATATGGGTTCTTAGGCATTCATTATCCACTTGTCGTATCATTTTCATTATTAAGTAATTAGCAAAGGACAAAATAAAATCAACTTCTATAAAAGTTTATATCTTTTGTTTATATTTTTTGTTTTCAAATTTAACTATTATTAAATATATGTGTTTATATATTTATCAATTTTTTTTCAAAAATAATAATAAAGATCCGTCACTAATAGATGTCAATAATAAAAAAATTTAATAGAGTTTATGAACCCTTATCTATATAATTTACACATATATTCAAATAGAAATAAATATTGGATTTTAGTTAATAATTTTATATACTATATATAAATGAACGAGAGAATATGAAAATTTAAGAAAATAAAAAATATGAAGAAAATAAAATTATAAATATATGAATAATGTAAAAATAAATGAGGGATGAAAAAGATGATACTATCATCATTGAGAGAGTTTATTTATAAATTCGGTATTATTTTCTGTTATACTATTTTGTTTTTTTTAAGATGTCATAGAATCGTAATGACAATTGCCTTATAAGACAAGTTTTCTTTTTACTAATTTCTTCAAACTAACTACATAAGTATTCTTGGTAAGATTCTCAAGGTTTTTACATCATACAATTATTCTTTCAATAAAAAATCATTCTTAACTCTAACCTCTCATAATTAAGACTAAACAATTCCAATAATAATTATATAAAACTTTTAAAGAATAAAAGAATATGATTTTTCATAATTATAGTGTTCTTTCGAAATTAACACAACAAATTATCTATCATGATTTTTTTTTCTTCTCTTTTATCTATACCAATTTGAGAAAGATGATCATTGTGTCAAAATTTAACTTTTTTTTTTTAAGTAATCGTTGTGTTTTTTTTTAAATTAGGTTTAATATTGTTTGTTGAGTGTGTTTGAGAAGTGTAATATTTATGCATTACATACTTTATTTGTGAGATAATAATCTTTAAATGCGTTTCACCTATCTTCATCTTTCTTTGATAGTTTGTATTTATTATTATTATTATTATTATTATTATTATTATTATTATTGTCTGGATTAGAGATTTTTTTCTTTTTCTTTCATTGATCACTTTGTTGTTTGCAACAAAAAGAATGGGTGACGCGGACACAATTTTGTTTTTAAGGTCCTAGTACATGGGTTATGTAGGTGTAAGAAGAAAGTATGGGGTGCAGAAAAAAGTGCCTAACCATGTGGTGATTGGTAGAAAACCCAATTGGCCCAAAATGTTAAGTCCGTTAACATATGTATGATCCGGCCCATTAAGAGTAGGGGACTAGTTCCAAGGTATTAAATTTTATCCTTTTTTTTTCTTATTTTAGTTGGGTGTATTCATTGTTGAAACTCAAATCATAATTAAAATTATTTGTTTGATTGATTTTCCATTTTTAAATTAATTTTTTTACAATAATTAATTAACCATATCTTAAATTAAAATTTACTACAGATAATTTAATGAGTTTTTTTTTCAAAAAAAAAATTAGAAAAATGTTCCCCCATTCTTTTATGTGACATTAATAATCGTGCAAAAGGTATTTAGCACATGCTCACTCTGATACTTACAAAGTCCTAAAACTGTATCGTAAGTTACTGTACACGATTAGTCTTATCTTGAACGTTGTGTAAGAAATTGCTCCAGTTTTAACATAAAACTTGAATGAAACTATATGGAAATTATCCACACCATGAGCCAGAATTTGGAACGGGCCATAGCTAACCCCAAACCACGAGCCTCTACAATAAAATAATGTGAGATATAATATTAGTTTATGTACAAGATAAAAATAAAAAATCTCATAAATTAATTTGTGTGATCTAATTTTAATTTTTTTCTTCCATAAATACTTATAAAGAAATTTGTATCTGAATAATGTTGTTTATAAACAAAGATACTACTTATAAAAATAATGTGTTCTAATAATAATTTTAATTAATTTTCTCATCTTGAAAATCGATAATATTGCAGATAACATAGTTTGAGTTATAGATTAAGAGTGGATTAAAATAGATAAGCCACTAGGCATTTTATATAAAATAAAATAAAAATAAAAACCAGTGTTTTATTGCTCAATAATCTTCTAGAAAAAACTCTGGAGTTCAAATGATTTAGGTGGCTCCAAATAACTAAAGATTCAAAACTAGGACTGAAGCGATATAGTTCACCTGGAATAATTGACAATATAAATAACTTGTATACCTTTACTTATATTTAAATTTTATTTTTAATTATGCTTAACTTAATTTCTATTTAGTTGATTATATACAAAAGATTATACTGAAAATGTATTGGAATTTAACTTGATGAAATACGTATATAACATTCACAACCTCAGTCTTATATATTTATCGCAAAAGGAAAAATACATTTAAAAAAAGAAGTTGAATAAAAAAGTATTAACTAATATTAATTATCATATATTTCAATTTTCAAGCTATTATTTTCTTTAAAGATAGAGTGATAAACTATATTAAACAAAAACTTTTTTTCCTTAACAAAACTTGTTTTTTCACTAAATGAAATATCACTGAGAAAATTGAATCATATATCATTGTCGATTTCATATCTATTAAGAATTTAATCAAACTATAATATATAAACAAATACAAATTTCATAATATAATTGTGAAATTGAGTTATACTGAAATGTACTTCCTTAACAGATATGTAGCTAAGATGTTATCTTTATAATATTTAACTTACCATTAAAAAGAAACAACTAAACTAATTTTGAGGGATATAAGTTGAGAAACAATATGAATGGAAAAAATAAATGCATTTCATACTAATATGAGGTATACTTCATTGAGTTTATCAATAATCATCATAAAAAAACTGAAAACAAAACGTGTCCCCTTTCAACTATAACATTTTGAAATATTTATAATAAGATTGATTATAAAAAATCATGATTCAAAAGTGATTAATTAAAAAAGAAATTGCTTGTTTATTGCTAGAGTAAGAGAATCCAACACCTGCTGGCGTAAGTATAGCACATTTGCCTCTGTGATAAGAATGAAATAGTAATCAACTTTGATTTATTCATAGAGTATTGGATATTTGGTTCAACGATGTTGTGTTAAAGGTTCACCTTTGTTCCAACTATAATCATTTTTCTCAAGAACATTGTTGTCACTCGGTCTGAAAGGACCATGCTCAGCAAAAGCTCCAGCTCCAATCGATGAACAACCGGGCCCTTCAAAAATCAAAAGCAAAAAGGCATCCTAATAACTTTGAGCAGTCTCAAAGGTTTAAGCCAGATTCATAAAAGTAAAATAAACAAAATCATGCATGTTAACAAGATCTATTATACCTCCATTCAACCAGAGGACTAATGGCTTGGAAGCTGGGTTTTCTTCAGCTTCAACAAAGTTGTAAAACAAAGCTCTCTGATGCCGATCATCCACGCTAATGTAAACAGAATATTGCTGAAATTTGACCTGAGGCTGCCCCGGCAAATTGCTGATTTTATCAGATTCAGGAAGTGAACTCACTACCACTAATGTTTGTGCAAAAACAATAATTATTGTTGCAATCATAGTCAATGACTGAGGTAGCATGGTCGTATGTGTGAAAAGGTTGTTCAATAAATACAAAGGATTATGATATAAGCATTATTCTCTAGTGCATTAAACCAATAAAGGATTACAATATGATATAAGCATTATTCTCTAGTTCATTAAACCAATAAAGGGTTGTAATTTGATCCACTCGGGTCATTTGCTGTTGTAATTTGACCTACATTAAATGGGCACCAGATTCTCTTATACAATGTTGTACATTTACACATTACAAACTTTAATTCATATACTACTAAAATAAAATATTAAATAAAAAATTGTTTTATCACAACATCATATCAATAAATATAAACCTTCAAATATGAGTTCCTATTTGCATCGCATCAACCTTGTACTGAAACAAAGCCACTATACATCAAATGAAGCTCATACAAAAGAACAAGCAAAGCATACAGAGAAATTCAATGAACCAGATCACGGCACACAAACAGGATGGATCAAAGAACTTCAGCATACATAGATGACATCTAATAATAAATCCATTTATTTATGGCAAAGAAGGAGTCTCAGGAAGTGCCGAGGATAATGAGGGTGTCTCTTTTCTTAGTTCCTTGACAACAGCAGCAAGTGCTTCAGGATTGACTCCAAGATCACACAGTGCAATTAGAACAGAAAGTGTGTGACGATCTAGACCCGTATCAAGTATATTGGACATATGGAATGCCAGGTCTAGAGATTCCCGTGCAGCTCGAGCAGCCTCCGGATCCATGCTTTTAAGCTGAGAACTGAGTAGAGTATGTTCAATTCACTAGTACAACAAAATTAGAACACCTGAAAACAGGTAGCAGCTTCAGATATAACAAGCCAATAGATCGTTGTACAGGAAATCCTAAAATCATTCCTCAATCAAAAACCCTAAACGCCAAAAATTGAACCCTCAGACCGGAATAAAACGCTCACCGGGAAAAGAGGAGGGGACAACGACGCCGGCAGAAAAGACATATGCAATGGCACCACGACAACGGCGGTAACGAACGTCCACGACCTCAAGACAACGGCGGCACCGTCGGCACAGAGCTTTCGATTTCCAACAGCTCTTGGTCCCTCCGCACAGCGAGTAACGGCTAGCACGGCCAACAACAACTCTTCCTCAGCACCGCTCTTCTACATGACTCAGTTTTCAATCTCGTCACCTGTTTCTCTTCTCAACCAGTCACAATGTAAAAATATTAAAGAACTAGTTTTAATATTTCACAATGTATTTTTCAAATTGTAAAAAGTGAAATTTTTATATTTTTAGAACACGTTTTTTCTATTTCATAAAAGTACTCGCCGAAAATCAAAAAAGTGTTATGAAAAAAATGTAGTACAACAAAGTAATGAATGCAATAGGGGTAAAAAATGTAATGAGTGTTAAAAAAAAAAAAAAAAAAAAAAGAGGAGTGTGTTCAGTAGAAGGAGGGAGTGTATAACTATGTTTATATCTTTTCCCATCTTCTTTCCTTTTTATTTATTTTTTGTTGTTGTTTGTTTGGGAGTGACCATCCAGGCTTCAGATTTGGGCTCAACCCACTTAATTCGAGCTAGCCCAATCTTTTAATTACTGTTTTTATGTTTTCAAACAAATATGGGTTAAATTTTATAATAGGGTGTTTCTTTCTATAACTTTTTGGACACCTCTCATTCATTCTGACATGGACCTTTCAGAAAATACATTCTAAAATGAATGAAAGGAAAGAAAAGAAAAGGCTTAAAAAACAAGGTTGAATTTTTGAACCTAATTTATTATTGACTTCTCCATCCAACTCAACTTTGATGGGTTGAATTGAATTCATAACTAAAAAACCCTAAAATAATAACTCAGATTTTGCTGCTATAATTTGACCTATAATTTGAACCAAATAATAACCTAATTTTTTATTGCCTTCTATATATTTAATACCTGACCAGAACTGGAAAGAGGTAAAATAAAAGAGATATTTAAAAAGAAGTTCTTACAGAAGTCAATTAAAAAAAATGGAGAGAAAAGTGTACAACGGGTATGGATTAATACAAAACTAGTATTTTAGCTGGTGCATTGCAGAAGAGTAGTTTGAAATATTTGAGAGATATAAAAATTTTATTTCTTAATAAAAATATTTTTTTTAGTGAGTGAAAAATCTTCGAAAAGATTGAATCGCATGCGATTATCGATTTTATATTTATTAAAAAATTAATCAATACATAAACAAATACAGATTTTATAATATAATTGTGAATTTGAGTTATACAAATTTTTTTACAAATTAATTTATCTATAAAATAATTTTAATTTATAAAAGTTAATTTGAATTTTTTTTTTCTGAAAGAAATTTATATAAGAAAGGATATAAACACATCAAGAGAGAGAGGGAATTCTTTCACAAACTATTTGTCTAACTTTAAGCTTGAAGAGTGCAGCCAACACGGCACATAAATAAGCGACAAAAATCCAATATAAAGTTGCTGTTAAAAGTAACTCATGGCACTCTTATTTATGTTCTATCTTCCTCTATTTTAATATTTTTTTTTCAAAATAATATAATTAGGATGTTAAATCGGATAGTTTGATTTCGTCTTACGTTCAAGCAAGAAATATTAATTCTGTCTGAATTATATTTTTAAAGAAATATTTTTTTAATATGTAATATTACGTTACACTAACATGCTCATGAATCAATGGATTGAAAATAAAAAACACATTTTATATCAAAATAATTAATTACAAATATTTAAATAAAAAATTTTAAAAATTATTTCAAAAATAATAATCTTATATAAAAATTAGATAAAAAGATCTATCTAATTTTAAATAAAAATAAAAAATATACCTTTTATTATCATATTTTGTAAAAATATATTAATTAAAAATAATAATTCATCGTATTCGTTATATTATTAAATAAATAAACATTATTTTTATATTTATTTTTAAAATAACTAAATTCTTTATAAAATTAATAATATATATATATATATATATATTTAAATAATATTATTTATATTTATATTTTAAAAAATATTACCTATAAATTAAATGATTTTATAAACCTCATAGTTTAACTTGATCGACGTCAAATAAATAATGACTTAAATGGACTGATTTAAATTAAGTGTGATTTAATTTAGTCTAACCTATTTTTTAAAATTAAATATATTTTGAAACTTTACCTATAATATCACATTTCATACGTGATTTTAAAATAATATTTTTTTAATATTATTTTTTGAAAAACTAATTGAACTTTCTTCTTAAAATAAGTATATGAATTAATTAAAAAATGGTAATTAATTTTAAATATATTTAAAACTATAATTAATTAAATTGAGTGCGTAATGTATGGGATGATATTAAGTTTAATTAGACCTCTTTACATGTTTTTAAGGTAATTAAGAGATAAAATAGACAAGTTATTATTTGTTTTCCTTCAATCTTAGGCACATATATGAAGGAAACCAGTACAGTAAATAATTTTATTACTGTGAAGTATTTATCGGTTAAACTATCGAAAAATATGATTGAATATTAATTTGTTTGGTGAGGAATTTAAATCTGAAATTTGTTTAACTAAATAAAAATTAGTTAGTGTCAGAAATTTAATATTTATATTTGACGTGTTTTGGGGTAATACATTAAAGAAATAAATAATTAATTAGAAAGGGTAAAATGCAGGCTGTATAAGGATAGAGGCAATACTTGGTAGACAGGAGGATGTGTGATGTTTTGCTGTCTGTAATTGGACTGTCTTTTCATAGGGGTTTAGGCCCACATGCAACCCACAAAGTCAAGATGTTGGATTTGTTTGGCTCATTATAAGGTAAAATAATTAAATCCATCTTCATTAACCTAGGCATGTATAAAATAAACATTAGGTGTAAAAAATAATACTTATGAAATTATTTTAATTATTGAATCTGAAGAAGTGATTATAAAGAGATTTGCGTGGATGAAGTGCATTGGGAAAGATGAAATTAAAGAGATTAAGGTATTAATTCTTTGAAAATCATGTTTGACCGAGACAGAAAGATAGCCGGTTAGTAGGTAGAGAGACACCTCAATCTCTATCCTTGATTTCTCCACCTACCCATTCATTGTCTTTTATTTTGTTTCTCTACTGAAATTCCCAGTGCTTCTCCCAAAAAAAATGCAGTCCTTCAATTACTTTTTATATTACATGTTACTATTTTCTTTGCCATGTGCCGCTTCTCTCAGACATTCACTTTAAAAATTAAATTATTTTTAAAATATATAATATAAAAATTTATAAATATAACATTTTAAGATTTCTAGTTGAAGACATGTTATATTCTATATTTATCTTAACTCAATTCAATAACAATATTAAAACCTTTAAATCGAATTTAAAGTAACATTTAATAATTTTATATCAATTCAATTTGTTACGTGTTTTAAATGGGTCTTATTGATACTACGTGGTCCAGTAAGATATTATTCCTCAAAGAATACTAAGTTCGAGTTAATAAAAAAATGGACCTTTAAGGTAAAGTGAAATTATAAATTTATTGAATGATTCGTTTTATAAAATCTTTATTATTTTTAAATAAAATATATTATTTTATTAATGTATATATATATATATATATATTAATTTATATATCAAATAATTATACTAAAAATTAAAATTAATTTTATTATTATATTTTTATTTTTATTTTTATTTTAATCATTTGAATTAAATATATTTTTTATCTATATATATATATATATTTTTTTTATCAAATTTTAGTCTTTTATATTTAAAAATTAATCCTCCAACTTATAAAAAATGAGTTATCTTAATGTTTTTTCTTGAATCTAACATTAAGTGACCATTTGTTAGTTTAACAAAATTTAATAAAAATATTAAATATGATTTTAGTGTTTTTAAATCTAAATCTAATATTTAATAATTTTTATTTTAATAAAATTAAAAAAAAGTAGATTAAAATAATTTTTAAAATTCGAGACTAATTAATTAAATTTTAAATATAAGAACTAAAATCAATCTTGATAAAAAATATATAGAAAAAAAAACACATTTAATTCTTTTTTTATTATTAAATCTTTGTATATAAATTATATTTTCATGAACATTTTAATGCAAGGAACAAATGGGATAAGTTCACATAAATTTATTTTCTAGATATTCAAATTAACAGGTCATTTATAAATTTTTATACTATTCAAGTTATTCTACTGTTTATCTATTTATATTCTTTTTAATTTTTCAATGAAGTTGATTTAGGATATATTTTTATTTTTCATATAATTATAAGGATAAACGATTTGAATCCCTGTGTCCTCAATTTTTGTTAGAAAATAGATATATTTTTTCGATTACAAATTTGAAGGGTTAAATATTTTCATTAAAATAATTTCCAAAATTCACTTAATTAATTATTTTCACTCAGGTAATTATTTTTCTATGCGAAAACAGAGCAAAGGGTTGTGTATTTTTCTAAAGAAATGCAATTTGTTTTAGGCTATGACACTGGTAAGTTATTTTTGGGTAAAGGCTATAACAACCACAATGGTTGTTGCATAGCACTTTCAAACACACTCTTTAAGTACACTGTCTTAAAGTCTAGCTTCATTCATTAATTCATACATAGTACTACTAATTCATCTACCATAAATCCTTGTCTGTCTCTAAGCCAAAACATCAACTTAGATTTGATATATGATGACGTAACTAAAAAATTAATATACTAAAGCGTTATGGTTTAACCCAAATAACTTTTTTTATTTTGTTTTACCAGAAGTAACTTTTTCTCACAGCGACTCTAAACTATGTAAAAAGGAGATTTTGGGATGATCAAAATCTAAAATAACGTATTCGGAAAATGACTTCATTAAAACAGTAAAAGCAGTCTGTGTTGTACGTATTGAAGTGTGGCAGCAAATCTTGCATTCTCGCTTTTGATTGAAAATATTTCACAACTGCACTTCCTATTCTGAATGACCGACCACGTCCTCTGGTTGCACCCATCAACCTACTGTTTATGACCAGGTACGGGTCGAATAAGGCTGTCTTGTCCCCACTTTCATTTTCCAAAACAAACTATCATCTGTAAATGCATATTCTTTCAAAAATATAAAAGAAATAACTTTTCGAACCAAAGAAGCATACTTTATATAAAAACTTATAAAATACTTGTTTGTGAAGAGCATGTTTAAACCTTGAAAAAAAATTCTTATATTTTTAGTTTTTGGGCAAGGAAAGAAGAGAATGAAATAGGAAAATAAACATTGCATTATATAAGATCATGTACTAAGACGCTGCCGTCATATATAGGTCATTTGGTTTACTCAATTTGGTGAAAGCATGTGTCAATTATTCAACTAAGTACCTGTCTTCATTAGCTCCACCAACTATATAATAATATTAATAAAACAATCATGGGACATATGGCAAACTTAGAAGGCCAACAGCTCAAAGTTTATAAGACATGGGCAATTAAAATGAGTGGATAAAATCATGACCTCAATTTGGTCATATATGTCTAATTAGGTGGTAGTCATCCTTCGTACGTTGTATGTATACATTATAATGTGTATAATTCTACTTTCGGAAATTGCTTATGGCAGATAAATTACTACAAATAGAATATGGTAATTTATTAAGTTTAGTTTGGGATAACAAAACTCTTCAACATGTTCTAATTTACCCAGATGGATTATAGAATTCAATCTATCATACTAAACAATAAATGATTAATAGATTTGTCTGTAAATATTTTATATATTTTTATTTATTAATTAATCTTTTTATTAGATAAATTAAAAAATTATTATATTTATGTATTAACATAATATTATAACATATTTATATATTTCAATAACATAATTTTAAAAAACATAACTATTTTTATTTTAAATTTAACATACAATATATTTTTTAAAGGGAACCAATGGATGATCTGACCATATTGACGAATTAGATTTGACAAACAAAACTAATCCACTCCACCAAATTTATAAACATGCTGACAAAGCAGTACCCATTTTCCATCACAACAATTTTGATTCATTAAAAAAGAGAGTATTTTAAATTATAATTTATAATTGAATACATAGAAAATTTTTGAAAATCGAGTTAACACGCTAATCTATTGAATTGACGGATAAGACGCACCAAATACAAATTTGGAACTAAATTTACGAAGTGAGGCCAAAGATTTGAGATAGGTTGAGGTAGCCACCACCTATGGGGCTTTGTGATGATAGTTGATGTAGTCCCTTATTATCCTCGTGCTCGGTGCTTTTTATCTTGGATCGCATAGGTGCCAAGTGTTGAATGCATAAGAGTTAGAAGAGAAAGTGACCTTTCCTTCGTCCTTTTCATTAGTGCCACTTCATGCCATGGCAAATGATAAGACACGAGAAACTACTTTTTCATGTGAGTGGGAATCAGATAGGAAGGTGTGTAAGAGCACCATGACACTGCACCTAAAAAAGTTACTCAACAAAAATATGAAATGTGTCATTTACATTAATGTTTTTCTTTTTTCTCTTTTTTGGCGTTTTAAATAATATTGCTTTTGAATTATTAAATATAATTTAATTTTACATTAAACATAGAAGGTATTTAAGCTAAAATTTAGTGGTTTGTGTTGTTTGTTTTGAAGAGAAAAAATAACGAAGATTTTTATAGAAATGGGTGGAGTCTCCTCGTTTACATTTCACTAACAAATTGGGAAGAGTACATTTAGATGGATACTTGACATTGGAGTTCCAATGTTACCTTGCAAATCCGAAGATGGAAAATATGTTTTCATAATTTATATACATTTTTAAATTCAAAATTTAATAAAAAAAATAATATAATCTACATTTCTATACAAATTTATAAAAGTTCACAATAAAAAAATATAATGATTTGAAATATATATTATTTTATTTTATTTAAAAATAATAATTATTTTATAAAATAGAATAATTCATAAATCTAGAATGTCTGAGTGTTTTTAATAGATTACAGATTTAATTTAGAGCACGTAATTTTTTATATGATATGATATGACACATTATATCATTTTGTAGGTTTTGTAGATATCAAATTAGACCTATTTTAATATTACTACGAATAACTTCTTCTAATAATATTAAAAAAAATTAAGAGATTCACTTCTTTTAAAAAGTAAGAAATATAAACTTATTCTTCTTATTTATCATTTAATTTTTTTAATATAATAAAAATTCATTTTATTTATTAAACTGTAAGAAAATGAGTAAGTTTTTAATATATATATATATATATATATATATATATATATATATATATATATATATATATCAATTCATATGAATTTACGAAACTAAATCAAACAAAACATACAATCATATACACAATAAAAATTGTAATTATAATTTTTCGAAAATTATCCCAAAAAATATATGTCTATGATGTATTCCTAATATATTCAATAATACATATTTTGCTAAGTTGATGAATCACACATCACTTAAGAGTTAAAGTCAATAGTAATTTATATATATTATCATCTCTCAACTCACCAAACTATTTTTTAAGGATAAGATTATAATGAACAGGAACTCTAAAGTGGATAATATCTCAAGTATCCTCAAATATGTTATTAATCATAGCGAACATCAAATTGAACCACTCTTCCTTGTAGACATAACAATTAATGATCAATTTGAATTTAATAATATTTTTAATAAATACTAAACACATAAGACAATATTGAATAAGAAATATGATAATTACATATGTCATATTTAATATTATACTTGTTCATTAAATTATCTCACAATTATATTCATTTTCAAAACCATATAAGATAATATAGTTTAGTTTGTTGTCAAGTTTTATACCTTCATTTTTGTAATTTAGGTATATCTCATTCATTTCTTAATCAATAGTTACATTATCCTCCTACCATATAGTATCATTTTTTCCAAACTATCATTTCATACCAATCATATCATTGATCTCATCTCACAAGCTAAATAGTTGTTCATCATATATCATAATGACTAATTTGGTGATCCAATAAATAACATAACTCTTTTAAGCAAAACAAATTATTAAAATTATAAAATAAAATAGCAACTATAATTATACAATAATTTAAACTATATATAAAAAAAATATGTAGAACATGATATATAAAACTAGGGATTTTCTTTTACAAGATGCCACTTTTGAAAGATAATCTCAAATCAAAATCTAATACTCTTAAATAGACACACGGTACAAACCACAATAATTAGCATAATTAATATCTCTTTCTCTTTTGATGCTATCTTACTTAGTTTTTATTATACTTGTACCATCTTTCTAGAGTTCAAATACAATACTAAAGTTATATGAATCTTATTTGTCAATTTGATTCTTATCTTGTGTTATTGTAATTATGTATTAGTTTTTTATTGATCACTTTTCTTAATTAGGTAAAAAATGATATATAGATGAGATAATAATCTTTGAAGTGAAGTACACTATCTATACCTTGTCTTCCACACCTTTATGGATGAATATCTAATACAATTGTTTACTTTAATGCGTCTATCAACAAACATAACTTTTAAATTCACACATGTAGAATTTATTTTACTATCTCTTAAAATCAAATTTTGAAAGACAAAAATAACTTTCCTTGTCTATTTTTTGTTGTATTCTAAGGATATTAGAAGTTGAGGAAACAATAAACAAAACACCACACAAATCTTCTTTGATAACCTCAAAGAGTCAATCATATGAGATCAAAACTAGAAGGTGAAGCTCAAATTCAAATCTTTATGGAAACCTCCCATACCTAGTCCATGCAAATAAAGAAATAGAAGAGAAAATGGGAATCTAAAAGAAGGGGATAAACTTATCAGAGACAACCCTCGGAATTGAAGCTCTAAATCTTCTCTTAGTTAGCTTATCAGTTGAAAAACACGAAGAGAAGAGAAGAGGAAGAAAAGTTTCTTTTGAGAGAGAAGGAAGAAAAAAATAGAGAGGGGAAAGGAAGGAGGAGAATATTTTAAAACTAAAGGGTTATTTTGAGTGAAGATTGAACTTTGAGAAATAAAATAAATGAAGCTGTTTGAATTAAGAGAAAATAATAAAAATAAATAGAAAGTGAAATAAATTTATTTATTATTTTAATATATTTTTTAAATATTTATTATTAAAATAGTATAAAAAATAAAAATATCTTAATTTTTTTAATATAATTAATTATATTTTTATTCATAATCATATAAGTAAATATTTAACAGATTATATCTAATTTTTTTTAACTTTTCTTATTGTAGTGTTAGAAAAATGATGTTTTTTTTTAATTTCTTTTATTAAAATGTATGATATTCACCCATTTCTTTGTCTTGTATGTTTTCATTACAAGGAACAAACAGGGACTAAACTTACTTCTCACACTTTAAACATGTTTTAAAGTCTAAAACTTACGCACCTAACTCTTATACTTGTTTTCATTTAAATAAAGTTTTTGAAAAAAATATTGAATTTAATTACCATTTTTTTTAATTAACTCACACACTTATATTAAAAGAAAAGTCCAATTAAGTTGAAATTATGTTTTAAATTATAAAACTTTTATTTAAAATTTAACAATTAAATATAAGCTAAACAAAGCATTATTAGATTTTGAAAGTGATATAGCCGACTGCAGGGAATCCTAATCCATGTTTGGTCGGGCATTATAATGAATTCAAATGTAGTTTTGTATGTTCTGAACATGTCTTAACACACTGTTATGCTTGACTTCATTTTTAATTTATAAAAATCATACTATTTTAATATCTTTAAATTTCCTTTAGCTTTATTGTGAAGGGTGTATACGCCAAGCTTAGGATAAAAAAAGATAAACTTAACTAATTCAGGTTAATTTATAAACATAACCAAATTCAGTTAAGAACAAAAGCAATACTAGTAGCAGTTTCTGGAACACAGCAAAGTTGATTAATTGGACTAAATTATGGTTTTTTTTAACGGATGTTTTGTTTTCCACATTAACTTATGTTTTTAGAATGTGTTAAAGAACACGAAATTATTTAATAATTTAAAATTACTTTAACTTAAATTTTTTGTTCTGTTAAATTACTTTAACTTAAAATATCTTGAAATGTTAATTTTAGGCAAGTAATAGAATTTTGCGTTTCCAACTTCCAATTTTTTTGGGTGTTAGAAAAGTCAATTTTATATATATATATATATATATATATATATATATATATATATATATATATATATATATATTCCATTTTTATATATATAAAAAGTATATTTATTTCCTATTCAAAGAGGGTGAGTATCGAGGGGTAAGATTTTTTTGTAATAGTTTATTTTTTATTTAAAAAAGTATATGGGCGTTGATAATTCTCCGTCAATCATTTAATGGATAGTTCACTAGTTAAAGAATACCCATAAATAACAAAGATAAAAAAAAAAAATTAAGAGGACTACAGCAAGAAAATAAAAAAAAATCCACAAATTCATTCTAAACTAAAAAAAAGCTTATTCAAATCAAAAGAAAATACATGTATTATAATCCGTTAATATTTCATCACCACTTGACTTATACAGTTAATATTTCGCATATTATTAAATATAGTATTAAATAGAGCGTGTGTATTGAATAAAAGTAATAAATCAATGTTAGAACATTCATTAAATATGATATATAATATACAATTACTATAGCATAGACACGCATTTATTTAGCGTATGTACTTGTTAAAATTAAGAAATTTATGAAAATTAAGAAATTTACCCACACAATACATAGTTTAGGGTTAAAAAATCCAAGAGAGGGGAACATTTTTTTGAGTGCGATTGATGGAGTTAAAATATTACAAAAAAGGGAAAACGGTGAATTAGGAAACATTTTTACGCATGCAGTGGATGAGGCGGCGTGACAGAAAATTTAGCGTAAAGAAATGCAGAGAATATTCGGGAAAATAAGAAGAGGAAGAAGGGGAAAATAAAGAAGGGAAGATGGTGAGAAAGAGAAAAGGAGAGGGTCAAATTTGACAGCTAGGAATGAAATGTGTTGTTGTGTGTGGCATGCGTTTAATTTGTGATACACGCAAATCGCAGAAACATTAATAGTAATAGGAAGAGGACGAGGATTGATTGGTTACTACTAAAAACAAAAGAACAAAGAAAAGAAAGTCAAGCCGACAACCAAAAACAATCCTCCAACTTTTGCACGTTCTCTCTCTCTCTCTGGGTCATGGTCATAATCATATTCATACCATCCATTTTCCATTTTTTAAATGGTGCAGACCCTGGAATATTTAACCCTGCCAAACCAAATTCTCCATTCTTCTATGTCCAATGCCATCCATCAAGGGTCACTCTTCTATCCTTATGCCTATTCTTTTCTTTTCTATTCCATTCTACTTTCAAACCAAATCCACACAAGAAAAAATCAACAAAAGTTCTCAGTTGACCTGGACCATCGTTTTAGTAATTAGGATGGTTGAAAATAAGGTTATTGATACTGTTAACAAGTGCAATAGAAAAAACCCTGTATCCAAAACACTTCAAGTGATTACCTACTCGTGTCTCAATCATTGCTCAAGTTCTTCATGCTAATAAAGATTGAAAACTGAATTAAAATAGTAAAGGGCATGAAAAAAATGATTCAATTTTATTTCATATTAAATTTGTTATACACTTGCGACCATAATCACATCAAGGAGTTTAAAGATCATTGAGGTAGTGACAAAGCACTTTCAAATGGTGTATATATACTCTAGCTTAGATATGATACCCTAGTAAGTCATATTTGACAAGAAAACTGTCCAGAAACAATCGAGATTTTTCTATAGACAATCATTATGGAAGCAAGTCAAAAGTAGAGGTGCCAAGTTAGGGTCCTCTTCTAAATGCAAAACCTACTATTAAGAAAAAACTCCTATATACCACCTTAACTCCTAAAGTCCTAAACCTGAAGTCCTATACCGCGGGAAATAAACAGTTTTTGAGGTTTACTTCCCCTTCAACCAGAATAATCCTATGCAAAGACCATATGGCGAATGGATGTTGTTATTTTCTACAGTCAAGGGAACCGATCTTCAAATATATAGAGCAAACAGCTTGGACATGCTGCTAAATCTGCTGCTCCACCATGAATAATAGCTCTATCTTCGAGTATAAGGCCGGTTCCTATTGTGATAACCGGGCTTCTGATGTGGATTTCGGTGGACAACATGTTTGGGGAGATCATTTATTTCCATAACTTGTATTGTTCTCTGCCTCTTGGCTGCAAGGAGGAATTAAATGTCAGTTTCATCAATTAATTAGCAATTGAGGAATGTGTATCAAAATCCCTCGTTTATTATAATTTAGTGTCCTAAGTCTAATTTCTAAGAATTAATCTATCAAATCCAACACATATGGCAAGGAAATTAACTTTAGCTCGGAATGTAGAAAGATAAAAGATAAGTAATATACATAGGACATGAAATATATAAACATAGATTTTGGAAAAGGAATGACAAACCATTTTCAGCTTGTTGATAACTTTCTTGAAGTTTTCTCTTGGTGGCTTCTAGTTTTTGTTGGGTAGCCACATCATCTGAATGCATGGATTTCTGATAGAGAAAAGAATCAATTTCAGAGAGAACATAAACATAAAAAAACTTGATTTACATAGAGATTTTTCACTTACATCCAGTTGACCACTGGGAGGTCTCCTTGTCATTGAATTGTTCTCTATTCTTTGCTGCATCTTTGGCTCCACATTACTCTTCCCCTGCATTTTTGATAGAGGGGGTTTGCCACGGCCAGAATCAGTGGCTACTGGCTTAATTGGCCTCACAGGCACAGCAGTCTCATTTTTCTTTGCTTGTTGACTCTTAATCTCCCTGTTAGGGATGGTTGGCTTTCTGCCATTATTGTCACGGTTCTTGTGGGATGGGCCACTTGGTCGAGGATCTGAAACAAAATTTGATCATCATGACCTGGGGATTAAAATACAGACGACAAAGGATACGAGATAACAAATTCGACTTACTTCCATCATCGTCCATGCCATCAAAGAACTTTACATCATTGAGAGATGAGACAATCAATAAAGAGAAGTAAAAGTCAGTCTCTAAATATAAAAAAGCTTGCAACAATAGGAAAGGCTAAAGCACAAGCAAATACCTCTGAAAGTTTTATGGAACCAGTTGGAGCAACAAAGAAAGCCCCTTCATCCATAGGTGGTGATGGAAGTCCTTCTTCTTCATCATCAACAACAGATGGATTAACTGAATCTGGTGTGCCTTCATCTGAAGCTACAAACATTTAACGAAACCATTATCAAACATGAAATAGTTTTAAAAATAGACCCAAAAAGGGCTGCAGGATGATCTGATCGTAACCAATGAAGGCAGATCAAAATTTCTACCTGCAATAGCTGTGGTAGTAGTGGCAATCACCCATTCATCAACCATTTGTTTCCAGCCACTACAAAGTCATGTGGAAAAGTTTAGAATGCAAGTTTTTCAGCTCAAAAGTGAATAAATTAAACAGCTTGCTTGTCTAGACCAGTACAACTTGGCAAACTTAAGTAGATGAGATGTGCTAGCATAAGTATGATATGCATAAAACCATAATTGGCTAGCTATTCATCTATCTAAATACCTTTATCAAAAAGCTAAAAAGCATCTCATGTCAGATGAACTAAGAAAGAAATAAGACGAACTACATTTAATCAGTTAATTTTTTGAGGATGGCTAACTATGACAGTGAATCAAAACGGGGTCAGCACGACAAAAGTGAATTGTATTGATCTTTCGCTTTCTCTCTGATACACACGCAACAAGAATAGCAAACCAGTAATTGGAATCGAAGAAACCAATTAGAAGCCATCACATTGTAAAAGAATGATACAAAGATGACAAAAAAACATACTCGATAAGTGTCTGTGCAAGTAGACGAATATCCTCTGATCGGCGTTTTCGGAGAGGATTAACAGCCTTTCCGATCTCAGTTGCCTGGCAAAGTTAAGCAACAAGAGTTAGAGGAATGGAAAATGGAGGAACAAAACAAATTGGCCAAATTTTCAATTGAATGAGTAACAGGGGAAGATTCGATTCGAACCTTCAGACAATCCATGCTGAGCTCCATCAGTTGAAGCCTCCTCAACGATTCAAATATCACAGAGTCAGACTGTTAGAACAAAAAGCAAAGAAGAATCAGTAAAACTCAAACCTTCAAAGAACAACCAAAATGCCATCAAACAAAACCCACATTTCTTTCAAACCGCAAAACAACCCAGAAAAAAATAAAAGAATGTGAAGAGAGAGAGGGACGGGTGAGAGTAAGACAAACCTCTTCACGGTTAAGCAGAACATCTTTGATCCTCAAAATCTCGCCTAAATACTGAGTCTCTTCATCTATTTCATCAGTTAATGCCTCCGCCTCGCCAAAACTATAGTTGCTAACACCGTTCACATCAATCTCAGCATTCCCATCTCCACCATCATTGACCTCGCTCTCTTTGCTTGCCCCAGCTAACTCACCCCCATCTGTGTCAACCCCATTCTTGCAATTGCCGTCATCAATCTCTTTACCAACTCCACTCACAGCCAACTCCACACGATCACACCCCACACAGCGAGTCAACTTGGAAGAGAACAGCCTCTCCGCAATCGTATCCCTCTTCACTCTAAACTCCTTCGGACAATCCGAAGCCGCCACGATTATCGCGTTCTCAATTATGTCAAATATATTCGAATTCGCCGACCCAAAATACTTCCTCCAGTCATCCACTGACCAAGACTTCATCCTCGCAGATCCAAAACTTGAACACGAAGTGGACAACTCAAATTCCGCTTATCATTAATGTGATCGTCACTCAGATACTGCCGCCTCGATCCCTGCACACACACCAATCACGAACAAGGGTCAAAAGGGTAATAAAAGATATTCGACTGTCAATGATCAAATATTATAATTTGGAAATTGAAAATTCAATTCACCAAAATTCGATTGAATTAATGTTTAGCAGAAGGCAACTGGATAGCCAAGCTTTAAAAGAAACCAGAAAACAACACAGACAACATGCGCGTGTAAATGACAAGAAACAACGTTGTGTGTTTGCGACGTTGTTGTGTCGTTTGTTAAGATTCCGGCACACGAAAAGCCTCGGAGGAGGAAGAGAAGAATAAAAGAAATAAAGACCCCTTTTTTCTCAAAAAAGGGAAAAGAAAAAACTGAACCCAGAAATTAATGAAAAGAAAGGTGAAAAAAAACAAAACAAAACAATCTGAATGATGTTTCTCTACCTATGGCAGTAATGCTGTTGCACCGAGTAGAGAGAGAGAGAGAGAGAGAGAGAGAGAGAGAGAAAATACCGCGTGCTTAAGAAACTGGATGTTGGATGTGGAAAGGAAAAACCAGTTGTGTTGAAAGGGAGAGAGGATATAAAGGGTGTCCTGTGAATGGTGGTGGTCTTTTTGGGTGGGTTTTGACTTTGATCAGAAAGACGCGATGGTTGAGTTGGGGAGAGAAAGTTTGGATGAATAAACGTAGAAAAAGAGAAGTGTTTCTGTGCTTGCTCTTTCTCTCCGCAATATTTTTATTATTTATTCAACATTTGGTTATTTATATACTAAAAGAAAATGAAAAAAGAAAAAAAGATCGAAGCAAGGACTAATTAAAAGTGGTAAGTAGGTAGTGAATGTTGCGCGATATAGATAGGACCGATGAAGCGGTTCTCAGCAAGCGAGTTTCGTGGGCCCCACCATTCGGGTTAGTACTAATACTCCTATGCTATCACACTAATCACTATCACCATATCAACACAAAATCTTGTTTTTAACCATGGTCAAAAAATTCTAAATTCATTTCGCGATTAATTCTGGAATAAATATTTCGAACAGATTTTGTTTTCTTCTCTATTTATTAATTGTTTTCTTAAATCTGCCATTCAATATTTAATATTTTTAAAACTTTATATTTAAGTCATTCATTATTTGGAACTTTTTTAAAAATTCCCGCTTTTAATACAAATAATTAATATTCTCTCCATCATTTATAATTAGTATTATTATTAACATTAAATAAGTTAAAATGTATTTCTTTCTGCCAAATAACTTTAAATGACAATTTTCATGAAATGGTGATATTATTTTCCATACACTAATATGGCAGAACTCAAATATTATCTATAATAATATTCATTTATAATATAATTTTATTTTTTAAATATTTATTAAGTAATGATCAATGAAGAGTTGGCTCTCATATTTTAATTAATAATGTTTTTATAGGCATTTAATATTTCTCTTTCTTCATTAGTAATAAATTTAATATTTCCTTTTGTTTTTTTTACCTATTTCATCCCGCTAACTAACTAAATTTTTTCTGTCTCTCTTACTTGTTTTAACTTCACATTATTTATTTCTCTATATAAAAGCATTAGACATTTTATTTAATTATTTCCTTATTAGTCAATTAATAAATAAATATGTCTGACACATTTACTATTCTATAAACTCTATCTTTTATTCATTAATTTCTTGATTTTTTTTAAAAACTTTCCACTTCTAATTTCAAATATTACTCTCTATTTACAAATATTAATTACTCTCTCTTTCACATTTATTTATTTATTTAGTATAATGCTAATACAAATTAAGAAAGAACTAAAAAGAGTTAAAGTAAAAAATAATTAATCAATATTTATGTCAAATTTTTCACACATAAAATGACTCTATTGTAAAAAAGTATAACTACGTTATTTCAAATTACGTTAATAAATCAATCAATAAAAAGCATTTGATTTTAGGATAAGTTATTCAAAATATTCCATGTATAAAATAATAATAATTAAAGAATTTTTGTAGAGTAATACAACTATTATTAAAAATTTAGTGTTTTATATAATTTTTTTATTCTCGAATATTATTATTTAATCTGCTAATGTTTTAATCATTATCATTAAAAACACCGTTTGACCAAGGCACCTAGAATCATACATATCCATAAAAAAAAAAAAAAAAAAGTCTAATAACACAATCCCTCAACGAATCTTGTCTTTTAAAATTTTAATTAAATCCTTAAAAAAATATATTATGTATATAAAAAAAATTGTACGAAATTACCATTTTCAATCATTATTGGATGGGAAATATATTTTCCTCAGAAACGTATAATACACGCTTAAAATATCTACTTATCTTCCTAATCATTTATAATTTTATTTGTTTTTTAAATTAACAGTATTTTTAACGATAATGATTAAAATATTAACAGACTAAATCATGATGTATTGGGATCTACAGAAACATTAAATTATATAAAAATTATATGAAATACAAAAACTTCCAATAATCATGAAAAACATATTTTGATTTTTATTTTTTACGAAATAAATCTCATCTAAAATTTAAAATAACAGTAATTGGAAGGTCCAAATTTCTAACATTACGTGTATAACACGCAGTTGAATTCAATTTGACATTTTCACTGTACGATCTTTTGTTTATGTATTTTTGAGCGTTCTTTATTTTATTTTTGTTTTCATTTGAAAATAAAATAAAATAATACAGATTTTAGAACAGAAAGAGAGAGGAGCTAACAAAATTCAAAGAAAAATACTGTAAAAAATTAATTAATTCATCAATAATTTAAATTTAATATAATTATTAATAAATTGATCAAATAATTTGTTTTCTATTTATTTATTTTATATTGCTAAAATTTAAAATGGATAAGAATGCAAAGACAAGTATAAACTTACCTAAGACAAACTTTTGCTTGAATCAAAGTATTTCACTTTCTGTCAGGAGCACTGAAGATGAATACTTGGATCGGATGTATAAAAGATGATGAAGGATTAGAGAAATTATATAGAAGATAGAAAGATTACGAATTTAGATAAAATCTTTTATTTATACCTTTTTACTTAATTAAATAAAATTAAAATTTCACCTAAAATATCGGATCTTATATTTAATCATATCTTAATAAAATCTTTAAACTTATGTGATTTTTTATTAGTGAATAAGATTTTGTTTAATCGTTGTTTGTGTTTTTTAAATATAGTTACTAATTAAAATATTTAAAATGCTAAATTACAATTTTTTTATATTTCTTATAACTTATTTTAACTATTATATTATTTACAATATTTATTTTACTATTTTAGGATTATACTTTAATACATGACTATTGATAAATAGTATATCTATATTAATTTTATTATTTTTAAATGTTTTTACTCTTATATTACATTTAAACATAGAAGTATAAGATATAGTATAATATATAATAAATAATCCCCCTATTTCATTTAAGATTTTCTCGCATATATTGAATAATAACAATTTATTTTCTAAAAGGTATTCAAATTCTTCTCTATTTATAATTACTGCAAATTAAAATGCTGTCGTTCATCTGATTGGTTGGTTTATACTTATGGACCAATCTTATCTCTTACCTAATTAGTTTGTGACTTCTGATGAAAGAATTTAGATCGGTCTCATCATTTGAAAATTTGTTAAAAAGCTTAAACCACACTTAAAGTGAAATGGAGAAAATCTCAAATATGAAAAATATATAACAATTAAAACTAATATTAATATAGTTAAAATATTTTTGTTGTAAATAAAATATTATAAAAGTTTAAAATTAATTAAAAATAAAAATACCCTAAGAATATATTTTATTGATAAAATTGAAAATTTGTATAAACATGTTAATTATATTATTTACATATTATCTACTCTTAACAAACAATTTAAAAACCAACTTATAATTGAAACAATTAGTCAGTAGCTTTTCGGTTATCAACTTGCTTCAATTTTTTTTTAGTTTTTTTTTTAAATGTTTGATAAAATTAGTGGAAAGGTGAATGACTAATTAAACTAGTTTATATCATAATATTTATTTTAATATTGATTTCTTTTTTCTATTTATATTATATTATTTATTTAAATTATTGTAAAGACTTGTACAATAGTAGTGATTTAACATGATAATTGTTACGTTAAAAATGTTATAAATAGTAATTTTAATTATTCAAAATATCATTTTTATAAAATCATTATTTTTTAAACTTTTTTTATCATATTTATCACTAAGTTTCTCGCTCCTTTATTTTTTATTTTTTTTATCATATATAATAGTACTCCTCGAGTTAAGTGGAATAGTCCATTGATCATAATTTTAAACAAATTGTCCAATTTTAGAGTATTAATTGAATAAATATTTAATTTTAATTTAATATTTTAAAAATGAACACTTTTTTACTTTTTATTATTCTATTTTTTATTTTCTTTTTTCTTTCTTTCATTTTTATTTCCTCCTACTTTTCAGTTAGGAAATTTTTTTCACTTCTAATATAAAAAAACGACAAGAATGTATTAAAAAATTATAAATTAAACTATGTCACATTACATTAGTAACTAAATAAATTAATAATAAAATATTTGATTATAATAAAAGTTATTTAAAATTTCTCATTCAACTTCTTTTGATTTCTTCTTTTATATTAGGTTTTTTAAACTTTGGTTTTGTATTTATATAAATTTTATGAAACGTGTGAAACATTAGACATTTTCTATATTTAAATTAATTTAATTTTTCCTTTTCTAATATATCTTAATTATCTTATTCCATTTATTTATTTATTATAAGATTCGTTATCATTATTTTATATATACTATAATTTTGAAATGAATAATTTCAAGATTCGTAATTAGTTAAGTTGTGGAAAAATACTTGACCTATAAAATATTAATTAAAGATTTAAAAAGAAAATCTAAAATAAGAGTAATTTCAATATCCAACTTCTATCAGTACTTTGAGTGGTGTGCCATTGAATTCAATTTGATACGTATGTCAGATTCTCTTTACTGTACGCGTACTCTTGTTTTTTTTTTTATCCCGTGTTCTTGATTTGTTTTTATTCTTATTTTTTTCTAAAAAAATAAACAAAATTTACAACATAAAAAAAAATGGACCAAGAAAATTTAAAGATACTGTCAAAAAATTGATTTCCTCATCAATAATTTAAATTTTATAATTATATTAAATTTATTATTTTTTTCTCCTTTATAGTAAATTGTTATATTTTGGATGAGAATAAAATTATTTCATTTTATATTTTAATTTAAAATATATTTATAGTATTTATACATTCTCATATTTATAAATATATAAAATACAAATATTTATTTATTTTCATATTTTAATTAATTTATTGTTAAATTTTTAAATTTAACTATTTATAATTGTTAGATGCTCAACACTTTTGTATTATGCAACTTACATAGCCACATTACAAGGATAGGTATTTTAATTTAATAAATATTATAAATGTCAAAGTAAACCCACACAAAAAGTAATTTTTAACGTTAAGATTATTAATGTAAAATAAACATGGTGAACTACTTTCATACAACTTAAATTAAGAAGATTAAATATTAAATTTAATAAGTTTTATTTAACTCAATTATATAATAAATATAATAATATAAATTATTAATTTTTAATAATATAATATATAAATAATAATTATATAATTTGTTTATAAAATATTATTTATATGTATTATAAGAATTGCTATTGTATTGTAAAGATAAATAAGTATTTAAAATACTTATTTTTAATTATTTTATTATTGAGAGGTGACGAACATTTATTTAAAATACTTCATTTTAACTTATTTTTATTAGTGGAAAAACTTATATGACTTACTGTTACTTGACAAACAAATTTTTTTAAGCAGTTACTCCTGTTTTTTAAACTACCATTAATAATAGTAATTTTTAAAATGTTAAATTGTATTTTCTTTTATTTTTACATTTATTCATATTGAGTAAGTATTCATTATTATAAATCATAATTTTATTATTTATTTATTTCAGTCCCACAAAAACATACTTATTATATATATATACAAAAGTTAACATTATTATTTTTAATATTTTAAAAAATAAGATATTAATATTAATATTAATATTATTATTATTATAATATGATAAGATATGATGTAAGTGTAAAAGTAGAAATGATTTAATAAAGTAAAATTTAACATTTTACTGACTAAATAAAAAAGATTAAAAATATAAATTAATTTATTTAAATAATATTTATACAAAAATTATTACCTTTCTAAATTTTTATTTTTTATTTTTCTCTCATTTTTTTTTTAAATTGAAGCACATATTTGTAATAAACCCATATATATATATATATATATATAATTGATTTATAATTTAAAATTCAAATTTGCTCTATATAAAAGTTTATATATATTAAGCATCTCTGATTAAGAAATATTAGCAAAATAAAACTCTTTTAAAAGTTTCAGTATGCTTCTGCTAATGTCTTTATAATATTCATCATTAATATAAATTTATTATCACGTTACACAAACATAAAAAAACAAAATATTAAATTAAACTCTAATAATATAATGTCATCAAATGTTTAATACAATAATAACGTAAATAAAATAAATTCATATGACTTACTACTTATTTTTATATTGTAGATGATTATAAAAATCATCTTCAACTTTTATCACTTGATTCTTATATTTATACGATTCTAGTTATTAATAAAATCAACCTGTCTCATCAAATATAAAATTCAATAGTGATGTTCATCATACCAAACATATGAAAATTTCTCTTAATGTTACCCATACCACAACATACCATCATATTTGCATAAATTAACAAAATATACATTTTAAAAACATAATTCAACATTCTAACATTATTTATGATTGATATTATTTTAAAAACATTATCTAATTAATTTATCATTTAACTTAAAAAAATAAAGGTTGATAATTATATCAGAATGTATAATAAACAGCAGGGGAAAAGCTTTTATACTCAACATATTTCAATTGAATTAATTTTTTTTAGGTGGTGGCCTAAAGGTGGACACGTGTTATACTTGGAAGTGAGTGGGGGTAGGTTGTACGGTGACATACATGAACCATCATAAATGACCGGGTATAGAAGGTAAGCGTGGGAATAACCTGTTTTGTTATTATGTTTAGGATTTTTTTTAATTGTCAAATTAATCTTGAAGAACTTAATTTTAAAAATTATAAAATAATCTTAAATTTTGTAATGTTATAATAAAGTATAATTCAATAAATGTAAAATATTAGAAATAATTATTATTAAAATTAATATTTTACTGACCTGTCGTTTCTTTAATTATTTAGTTTGGATTTTAGATTAAATATTAATTATAAAATTTGATTCAAAGAATAGAAAAACAATGTTTAACTTTAAAGATATTTTAATAAAAAACTGTTTGATTCGACCATTTGGAAGTTTACAGACAATGATAGAAAACAACAAAATTTTGTCGGGTTTAACAACCGTGGCATACGCACCACAAATAACATTCGATTCATCACTCTTCAAAATATGCCTAAATTTCAAATTAGTGGATATGCTCTAGATTTTACTGGTATATTAAATATTTTAATTATGTAATTATGATAGGTAAAGTAATTTTTTTAATATGTTAATTTATCAAACGTCAAAGTTTAATAAATAAATATTTTTGAACTAAGTTTTTTTTTATGCCTTATGAAAAAAATGGTATAGACATGCATTTGTGAGTAAAACAAGGTAATTTGAACTTGAGGTCCCTTTTACGAGTAAAACTTGTTGCTCCTGTGAGTGCAATTATTTAATATGGACCTTTTTTTTTTCTAAATAATACTCTTCAATTTCGTTTTATTACTTTAATATTAATTTAATTTTATTATTTTCTAAATATATTAATATTGTGTATTTAATTATTCAATTATCCAATAAATCTGTTTTTTTTTATCAAGTATTTACTTAAAAATAAGTTAAAATAAAAAATAATATTTATATTATCTCAAAACAAATTAAATTAATCTTTATATTAAATTATATAGTTGCTTGCTTAAAATATTTTAACTGTAAAAAAAATTGAAAGCACTTTCCCTAAATTTTTCTTTCATCTCTTTGTCATGAAATTAAATTTATTAAAAATTACATTTTTACATATTTTTTTCCTTCTTACTTAACTTCTAAACTTTTTTAATATAGAGTAAAGTTTAACTTGTTATCTTTTATATAAAAATAATTTAAAAAAAAATATTTTTTAAATTTAATTTCTAAAAAAAATACTATTTCTTTAAATTTTAGTTCTTTTAACTTTTATATGAAATTTTTTCACTCAAATTTTTTTTTTTAATTTAAGCATGTCCTACTAGTATTTCTTATGAGACAAGGAACTACATTTTTCTTTATTCTTTTATTAGGGTGGGATGCATGTGGGTTGAAGTAGCCAGTGTCCCAAAAGTTGATTGAATGTATTAATTTTTAGTGAAGAGACCATTTTTTTCTAACCTATAATTCTTGTTTCGTGTTTGATTATGGACTTGGTCCTTTGAAAGTAAAAGTTTGGAGACAATTTTTTTATGTTGGTTCTTATAGATTTTTTATGTTGATTATAAAATTGGCATAAATACAAGAAATATAAAAATTCTTTATGTTATGTTAGTTGTTAGACCAGGCATAAAACTTACTTTTTTTTGTCTCGGTTAAACCAACAATTAATATAGAAAGTTTTAAAAATTAGTGAAAAATAAATATGACACAGTCATTTTTTGTGTGGGTTAAATAAACAATTAACTTATGATTTTCTATGTCGATTAGATTAATAAATATATGATTCTTACCTTAACTGACATTAAAACTGTCACTTTCTATAATAGTTGAGGTAACTTCTGTAGTTAAAAGTGTTATTTTATATGACAATCAAAATAAGAATTGATATATAAAATTGCAATTTTAAAAAATTTGTTTTATTTATATATAAACCTACCTACATAACAAATATATATTTTTCAGACAAACTTACTCCAATAGATGAAGAATAAATTAAATTCATAATATATTCAATAATAATATACAAATAGACTAATAGAAACATCAATAGTGTATAATATTATTTAATTTAGATCATGTTAAAATAATCTACAAATTATAAAAAATACTTAAAAAATGAGAAGCTCATTACATCATACCTCTTCCATAATTTCTTCCTTTAATGGATAAAGATAATTGAATATCTACAAAATCAACATGATTTAATCAAATACTTAATAAAAAAACTTAGGTGCAAATTCACATTTGACTAAATCATTTTTATATTAGCTCATTCCATGAGTCAATAATGTTAGCATATATGATTGTGTGTATGTGTTTCATCACATAATATTCACACATGATTTTCTCGATTGATGTGGATATTAGAAATGTAAAATATATAATAAAAATATATGAAAAATTGAATAATAATCAAACAAATAACTTACATTAGGTAAAATATACTTGTTCCTAATAGCTTGTCTGGGCAACCTCATATGTGCATTCATAGCTCTAGACAAAACAATTTAAATTAAATTGTATTAAACAAACATTTAATTCATTAATGTTAAAGTGTATAACAAATAAAATACAATGGCATAAGAAACTTACGAGTCTATTATATTTTTAATAGTCAAAGTATTAGTTTTCCCGTGTAATAAGGACAAGAGAACCACTAAAAACTTTTAACTGATAATTATTAACGATTGTTAATGAACCTATAAAATGTAACAATATTAGTACCAAAGGTATGAATCATTGTAAAGGAAAAAATATATACTTATTGTTGCAAGAAAGGTGTTAAGTATACTTATTTGCCTGATTTTGAAATGTTTGTATCAAATATGTTTCAACTCACTAGCTTTATTTCCTATGCTTTGAATGATAATAAGGTCAATAATCCATAAATGTAATCATTCTTCCTTTTATTGCAGAGACAATTTAAATACCTTATATATTAAAAGAAATAATTTTAGAATAATCTATTAAATTTTTAAAAAATTGAAGTTAATGAAAATATACTTATAACAACCAAAGTTATAGTATAGATATACATAATAAATTTGTGTCAATAAGAATATTAAACACATCCATTTGGAAAATAAAGAAAGGGATGGTAGTAAGTCTGCCTACTACTTCAAGAGACATATCTATCTATACAGATCCACTGCACCAAGTTGCTGCATAGGATATAATTGTGGTTTTGTATTTCTAGCAACTTCTTTTTGTTTTTTTTAGAAGAATCTTATTTCACATTGTGCATATATATCTAACTCAATTATAATTATGTGTGAACAATAAAAATATATAATTAAAGGTAGTAAGTTAATTTACCCTCACTACGTTAGGATTTGCCAATCTAATTGGCCAAAGAATAAAATGTTCTAGGGTATGTCCCACCATCTGAACCTCTTCTGTGGGCATAGGAACTCGAATGATAACATCTCGAATGTTTACAATAACCACTTGTATTGTATCATTATGAATCATCTAGTAGTGGATGATTGACCCCAATATGTAAATTTTACTTAAAGAGACCATATAAATTTAAGTATAATAGATGAAATACTAATGGAAAGATATACTTTTTATAATAGTTGCCTAAGGCAACTAAGTGATAGGGAGGATCATTAATGTACAACTCACAATCTACGAGGCCATCAACATTATTTTCCCCTAATATGTCAAGATCAACATGTGGAGGTGAAGGAACAAATAATATTTATGATGCATTTTTCTTTTTAAAAATATTTAAAATCCGCCAAAATAAAATTTCATCGTTACTTCTTTTATATATATATATATATATATATATATATATATATATATATATATATATGTGTGTGTGTGTGTGTAAAAGTTCCAATATGAAATTATTTATCATATTTTTTAATAAAACATGCAAACTTTAGCAACTTTAAAATATCTCACTGTGTTGTCAAATTTTAAAATATTATAGATATGCATTAATAAAATATAAAAATGTTTTTAAAATTTTTATTAAAGTATAGGATATTTTAAGTACAAAAATTAAAACTCTCCCATGAATACTTAAAAAAAACACTCACGAGATAAAAATATTTATTTTTATTCATATATTATAATTAGTTATAGATGTGTTTCTATATCATCAAACTCTTTAAGATTAAAATTTAGGAACGAAGAAAGAAATTATATTAAAATATGTATGACTCTTAGGTTTTCTTATATTAATTCTTGTTTCAAATAATATAACAACTTCAAATGTATATTATATATTTATATAAGTTATAAGAATAAAGTATTTTAAAATATGGATTTATATATATATATATATATATATATATATATATATATATATATATATAATTAGAACTAATACAAATATTTAAAATTCTATTAATTTTAAGTCTATTCCCATTGAGGTTTAACACTTACAACTTATGATCCCATTATCACAGTTCAAAAATAACACACAAAACACATTGAATATGCTAATAGTTGAAAATAAACATCTTAAATTGGAAATTGTTCTAAAATAATAATTTCATACATTTGTACATATATTAACACTTCACAAAAACAGAGAGTTAATACATCACCTCACATCCATATAGGTCAACTATCAGGTCTTGCAGATATAAATATATCATTACCATACAAGTTCACTATCACGTCACATAAACTCCATCACATCATCATACAAGTTCACTATCACATCCCATAAACTCTGAATAACTTTCAATAGAACAAATATTGAATTGGACTCAAAGATTCTACATTTGTCACACCCGTTTGCTAACTAACAACTTAGGTTCACATAAATCAAACCATCGTGACACATGTGACCAAGGTTAATCCCTAATATTTATTTGTTACTAGTGAAATATGCACCCCAGACCAAGTAAGGGGAACCTCCCTCAACTCTCATTACTTGATCTCTTTATTTATGTCATTCCAGTAATTAATATAGTCAAGATAATCTCATTGAATCCTCAATTCAATATTCACACACACTACATTATACATATATGATGTACCCCTTGGTAGCTCATATTACAATACAATACATGTTTTTCTTTTCAATGCACACAAGAACATTTA